TCAAGTGACAATCACACCGGGGCCCCTCTAGCCCACTCTAACCCTGGGTGTATATTAAAAAAACACAGTAGTATAGTGATAAATTGATCTTTGTTAAATCAACGCAGTGGTAGATATTTACAAAAACTAACTTTATTTTGTAGATTTTCTTCCAGTGGCGAGATATCCGGAACTCTTTTTTGAAGAAATTGCATGGTGTTTACCTTTAAAAAAATGAATTAATATGCCGTTATCGCTATGCATATTATAGAGTATTGTGTGAAGATTGATAGCTACGCATCCCTTCGATCTGGTTCCGCCATCATAGGATTTAGGTTTTTGGTGAGGTTGTCTCTTCTTGGTCCAGGCGGTTAAGCTAAAAGCTCCCCACACCCTCTGCCCGTGATACACTACCACAGACAGTAGAAGGTGCCTGGTATGACGGACAGGGTAATCCTATCTAGTATCGTTATTCGTCTTGCTGCGATTCCCTGGCCACTATACTACAGCCAGGATTTGGTAAGGAGCATCTCATTGGCTACAGCCAATGAGATGCTCCTTAGACCCAGCCAAAGTACCAGAGGGGACCTAGCCCCTGACCAGGATCTTCTCCACCAACGACAAGGTCTCGCATCTCCTAGAGGAAGTGATTAATATCTTAAAAAAAAGATATTGAAGTAAAGTAAAAAACTGCTTTAAGATTTGAAAGTATAATTATTTAATAATCTACATAGAAAACGAAATCTGATGACATTAAATCTATGGACCTTGACATAGGATTTTTTCAATTAAGACACACGCCGTACCAGATTAAATGATTTAGCAAGAACGAAAGACATGTCTCTGGTACAAATTGTTCCGGTGGGTTTAATCCCATTGTAAATAAGCGTTAAATCCGTCCAAAAAGTCGATGCAAAAACTATCCGAGACTCGTATTTGGTCGAAGCAAGCGACACTTTGTATCGGCTCAAATGGGTAGATCGGCGGCACTACCATTCAAAACACATTAAGCCCACCGACTAAACGTTAAATAAATAGGTATTAATGACATATTTTATCTTAATTCCTGCCCACACGCGAAGTGGCGTTCGTACTAGGCCGAGGATGTCTGACCGAAAAAGAATTACGCGTTTCTACGAAAAGCCGATATTTGTTTACTAATTTGTCGTTAATAACCATTTCCAAATTTGTACTAAACAAATAATAGATTTTTAACGTGCGACGCTTAATATAGATCGTGTTAATTTAAGTTTCGACAATATTCATTAATTGTAAATATTTTTCGGGGAAAGAATATGTTTTAAAGGCTTTATTAGCAAAACTAGCTATTTAAAATGGAAAATACTTTATGTAACTATGAGCTGACCTTATTGTTATGCCTACTAGTGAGGAGAAGTGATATTTTTTGTCAATCTTGTGGTATCGATGACTGATCCACCGATTGATCTGGAATAATTGAGACCAGTCGATTTGAAAGTTTTTTTGTTGCATTTTTGTTTATATTTCGATTTATGTATTTTCTATACAGGGTGAGTCTTACATAAGTGCAAACATTTTTAGGGGTGGTATGATATTTTTTTTTCACCAAAAAAATTCTATGGAAAACGTTGGACTCTTTTCTGTATACCGGGTGCGTCTCAAAAGTGGCTCACCATTATAACTTGTTTTATTTCTTCAGATAAAAAAACCAGATTTGGTATGTTAGTATGTAAAATAAATTAGGATTGATTGACGTATGACACAACAAGTTAAGGAACATAATTCGCCAATTAAACAAATTATCTTATCCCTCTCTTGACGATGTTATAACGGGTGCGTCTGAAAAGTGGCTAATCCCTTTAACTTTTTTATTTTATTCAGATAATCCTTCCTGGATCTCCGCTTCCTGTTTCACCGGAAATTACCACAACTTCTCATTTTTAAACGACACCCTCGGTATGTTTTTACTTTATTCGTTAGAAAATGAAACTCTGAAGAGAATGACATATCATATATGTCAACTTTTTATATTGTCGCTTAAAAAATCGTATTTAAATTTCAATCTAGAGTGCCATGACTGTGTTAAAAACACTAATTTTTAATCAAGGAACCTTGGAAAAATAGATTTGATCGGCTAATGTTATTCGTGTTTTGTCCTGACTGGTTAAAAGATGCCCAAATCGTATTTTTAATCATATCTCAATTTTTTTCAAATGGAACGAGGGTGGCTCATTAGCATTTCGGAAAAAGCATTTTTTTATGAATAATTTGGTACCACAACCTTGGTATTTTGATTGAAATTGTCGTTATAAATCGTATGTCATTCTATGCAGAGTACTATTTTCTATCGAACAAAGCAACAAAAAACCGAGGGTACCATTTAAAAATCACAAGTTGTAGTCATTTCCGGCGAAACAGGAAGTGACAGAAAACAATTGAATACGTCAGTCAATCCTAATTTATGTCATATATTAACATACCACATCTCGATTTTTTATATGAAAAAATAAAAAAGTTATAGGGGTGAGCCACTTTTAAGACACACCGGTATATTTTTCCATGAATTGATCAAATTTTTTAATAGTACTTCTGCCATTCGGGACGGAGACAAATCCAACAAATCAGAGATCATTAAAATCGGTTCAGTAGTTCTTCAGTTGTAAACGGAATAACTAACCCAACCTTGTTTTATTTATTTAGATTTATATCAGAGCTGAGACAAGTTGCATATGCAATTTTTTGACATTGTAGGTACAAACATAATAATAATATAAAATAATAGTAGATAAATCAACGTTACCAGTGTAATCTCACTGTTAGTATTAATTTGTAAGAACAAAAACACTTTGTATTAAACCTTTTATTTTTTGTCGCTATTAAGACATTAGAATATGATTTTTAAACTTTTAATAATAAATTCAAATTCAAATTCAAATTCAAATTCAAATTCAAATTTCTTTATTAGACCCCATTAAATTATACAGAATATTATTATTAATAAATGTGAGTCTAAAGGGATCGCACCCCGATTAAAAATCCGATACAATGACACAAAGTGCCAGAGTGGTGCGACCCCAAAAAAATAATTGAACACTTGAAGTAAATAATGTTCTAAGTGCCAAAGTCATTATATCGAGATAAACAACATTTTTTGTTATACAGAGTGTTCCAAAAATAAGTGCAAGTATTTTAACTGGTAGTATATTTCAACCCCAGAAACACGCCTATGAGGTTTCTTTCGCGAAAAAAAAAAATTAAAAATTCAAAATTTTTTGAAATATTTTTTGGATTTTTTTTTGTTTTTAGTTAAAAAACATAATTTCTTGTTAATATGGCAACATAGGTTTTAGATTAAATTTGCTAGAAAGAAAATCCAGAAAAGATCCAGTTAAAAAAAAATCCAGTTTACTAACAATTTTAGCAAAAAATCATTTTTTTTGGAAATTTTCAAAGTAAAATAACTCCGTTATTTTGGATTAATTTGAAAACCGATAAAGAGAAAATATGTTTGTTTTATCGAGATCTACCACCGCTTAAAATATTTGCACTTATTTCTGGGACACTCTGTATAACCAACGTATAAGAACGGGCGGTGTCTCTGTTGAGAATTTTTTCAATACAATTTATTAGCTGTGGCACTTAGCGCTTTATATACCAGTTGGTGCATCATCATTGGAAACATAGAAAATACCATACAAATTTTGAATTGTCCAAATATCGGTTCCCCTATTATTTTTACAGCGATACGACATCGCTGAAAATAGTAACAGTAAATAGGCTTTTTAAAGGTCCGTGTATGCTGAATACACCTACCAATTTTGAACAATTTTGTACAAGCCATTTTAGTTAAGAAAAATTGCATCTATTTTTAAATTAAATTTTAACAGGTGACAATGCAAAATCAGGCTAATGCCAGCATACCTTAAGTTGTCAATATATTATTTTGTAAATGTCAAACGGTACTTCCAAAATGTTATGCTTTTGCCTGTTTGTAAGAAGTTTCAAATTATAAAAATGCATTTCAGGTACACTAACTGTATGGACTATAACGTAGTAGCGTAAACAGCACAACAAATTGACAAAATCATGGGTTGAAAACTTAAGGTATGTTGAAATTTGTCTCGATTTGCATTGTTACGTGGGCAGCTTTAATTTAAAAATAGCTGGCAGTTTTTCTTAAATTAGTTAAAAACAGCTTATACAAAATTGCTCAAATTTGACATGTGTATTCAAAATACGTTCAGGGTGGCTCGAATTCGACGCTCATCATTGGGATTTCGGAAACCGTAAGAGATACAGGATCGGTTAAATGGAGGCAAAGTTGCGCAATTTGATGCTCAATAAAATGCCGTATTGCATTTTGAAAAATTCCGAATACTTCCGAATATATTCGAAAAAAAAACGGAATTTTCAATTTTGTTTTCTATTGTCTCCTGGCTTTATTTGTTAAGATAACTTAAAATGAAAAACACATTTTCATGGCCACTTTTTCTGCTCTATAACTCTGTGTGATTAAATATTGACTCTGACGTTTCAGCTTCTGGCGACTATCATCAACTTAATTTTTTTAAATACGGACCTGATTTTTTTTTCAATTTAATTAAATCCTTTTATCACTCTTAAAACACTATATATAGTCACTTTGATATTTGCCGACAACAGAAGTTTTTTGTACAGAAAATTCCATCACTAGAAAATTTTATGCCAAAAAAAAATGCAATACGGCATTTTATTGAGCATCAAATTGCGTAACTTTGCCTCCATTTAACCGATCCTGTATCTCTTACGGTTTCCGAAATTTCAATGATGAGCGTCGAATTCGAGCCACCCTGTACACCTTATTGTACCAAACTTATTAACGACTTTGCTGTAAAATTAACATGGGAGCCAATATTAGGACAGTTCAAAATTTTCAAGGGATTTCCTATGTTTCAAACGGTCATACACCACCCGGTATGTTGTTGTTTAGAGAACTTTTACAAATAAAACATAACCCGATTTTTTGGCATACAAAATTATTAATGTTAATATTTTTTTTTCAGGTTTATACACGAATGATATTGAAGAAGCACATGAAACCATACCCTTCAAGGTAGATCACAATGGTCAGCATCTAACGTACAACATAACACACCACCACACTAATCCTGGAGATGTGTTAAGATTAAACATTACCAGTTTTATTTCTGAACATCATCTGATATTGAAACCTTCAAAACATTTTTTGGCTCCTAACATAATCGTCGAGCGCAGAGGAAAAAGCAGGCACACTAGATCAGTACCAAGTGATCACAAAGCCGATTGTCACTATCAAGGATATGTCCATGGGGAGAGAGATAGTAGAGTAGCAATATCAACATGTAATGGATTGGTAGGTACACAGATGAATTTCTATATAAAAAATATTAATGAAGTTGAATAAAAATATATTGTTGAGGACAAAAGACGCGTCAAAAATATGTTTCTATACAAGTTCATAAATGCTTTTTACATATATGTAAAAGCCAGAAATCAGGGAATATTCATTAATTGAAAATTAATGACTATTCTCTGATTCTAAAAATTATTAGTAAAAGCTTACATTCACTTATTTGCTAACACTACGCCAGTAAAAGTTCAACAACTAATTTTGAAAAAATCTATTATTAGTGTTATCTATTATTATTATATTATCGATATATTGAAATGATTGAAATTTGATGTAAGGAATTCTATTTTAACATCGATAAATTCAAATAAGCCAAATTCATATTAAATTTAGATAAAACTATATAATCATCATCGTTCACAGTTTATTCAACCGTTTCCAATTATGATATAGCTTCCCTCGCATATTTAGATACTCTTTGTATCTAAACTCTATCTACTTTGTAGTTGGGCCCATTGTTTCTATTGTTGGCTATGAAGGCCCAAGTTATCCCTGCTAATTTCCTAATATCATGGTCCCGTCTCAAGTTTGGTCTTCCTCTAGGTCTCTTAATTCTTTTTAAATCCATTCTTCTCAAAGAGACCTGGTTTAAATTAAAAAGAAGTAGAAAAAAGACTCAAAGTCTCCGTCTCAACATTTATATTCATTTAAACAGTGACAACTGTTTCGCTCATACGAGCATCATCAGACCTAAGAAACGAAACCAACGAAAGAACCCAAATAAATCACAAATAGTAAAGAGGTCGTCGTAACTGACAAATACAATAAAAGTCAATCCACACACTTGTTCGCATTTTACATATTAAAACAACACTGAGATGAGGCTGAAATGACCGGCAAATATTTGTCAATAAAAACCAAACAGGAACAAAAAATCAAATAAAATCAAAACAAAATACAAAATTAAAAAATAAAAATAAAATAACTCAGCGGGATATGAACTCCGGGCTCCCGGGTACGAACCGCTGATTCTTCTGATAAAATCTTAATTCCTCGTAGGTATCATGCTGTAATTTTTGTGGTCCACCTGTTGTCCGTCCTTCTTGGCACGTGTCCTGCCTATTGCCACTTCATGGATTTGAATCTATGGATGACATCTATTACCTGGGTCTTTTGTCGCATCCATTCTATTCTTTTACGGTGCCTCTTGGTTATTCCCAGCATATTTTGTTCCACTGAGCGTTGTGCGACCTGCAGTTTCCTTATAAAATCCAGGTTTCGCATGCATAGGTCATGACTGATACTACACATTGGTCGAATGTTTTCTTCTTTAAATAAAGTGGCATTCTAGATTTGAATATGATTGAGTTTCTTCCATAATAAATAATACTCACTGTAACATATGCATGTAACATATATATGTTACATATTTCTGCTTTATTATTGCAATAGACAAATTTTCTCCACTTTGGCAGGTATAGCAAGTCTATAGCCTTGAAATCAATACGCTATATATCTTCCATAATAAATAATACTCACTGTAACATATGCATGTAACATGTATATGTTACATATTTCTACTTTATTATAGCCTTATCAATACACTAAACTGAGTTTTTCCTGTTGATTTTGACTATGTTTTTGATTTCAAGCTTCTCAGTTAATTTACAGATTTTCAAACACTTCCACGTTAGCATGGAAATGATTAAATTTAACAAGTTTCTTTAAACTATACTTCAATTTATGTTACTATTGTCTAAATATAACCTTAAATATTAAATTAAAAATTTAGCTATATTATAAATGCATTGAATATAAATTATTTGGATTTGTAGGTACTATTATTTTTATTTTATTTACAAAGTATATTGTATTTTATATTAAAATAGCTTATACCTGATTTGGCTAAAATAAGCAATAAATGTAAAAAGAGCCGAACACAATCCTCCATCGCAACAATCCATTATTCATAACTTCGAGAGCGAATGATGGCCGTTTATTTTAATTGCAAGCGGTCGAAGTTATTATTGAATCAAGAGAAAAATTGCTCGTTAGTATGTAGGATTGATTTAAGCGGTATTTACATAATTTTGTAGCTCTTTTTTGGTTCATTATCCACTCTAAAATTATGCCGTTTTTGTTTTTAATTATACGTTAATTTAAATATACAGTACCATTTACATATTTTTAAAAGTTTTAATTTGGTTTTTTGTTTTCTAATTTTGAATAAGTTCTTTGATACTAATTATTAAAATTTTCTCTGATGAATGATACTTCTTTGGTAGGTAACTGTATAATGTAACTTCGTGTATGGCATTAAGTTATGAACGATACAATATACACTCTATGAAATTAGATAGCTACTGTCCTTGTATGAAGATTTTATTGTAGATTATATTTTAATATAACTTCTATACGTTTCTTTGAATGTGTTAGACAATCGTTCAGTATTGAAACTATAAGAACATCGGACTTCCATTGTCTTTATTTATTTTGCTTATATCACTTTTCGACGATTCCATATGTGAAAGGATCATCGGAGAAGATCAGGCGAATAGCCAAGCAATATAAAATTAAAACTGTTTAAGTCTGGGACTGAGAAAGAACGGCGAATGCAGATTCAGTGGGGAAAATGGGGAAACACCAGAACACCTTATCACTGAGTGCGCCGAGAGGACGATCGTTCGTGCCATTAACTTTGGTACGGCTGATGTCGAGGATGGAGAGCCTCTGTAGAGCCGTCTCAGATACTGGCTCTTGTTAAAGCCTTGAGACTGTATGATGAGTTATAACTCGTTATAACTCAAGAAAGGGGAACACAATAGATCGCGGTGATTAACTTCCCTTCTAAACATTCTACATTCTACAAGTCTGGAACTACTCTGAGAAGTGTCCAAACAAAAACAAAACCGGAATTATCAAAAGAAAAGAGGGAGTGCATTTACCAGGTACCTTCTATAATGAACTCACCGAATGCGGTGAGTTCTATATTGGAGAGACAAAACGTCTTCTACATGTACGACTTGACGAACACAAAAAACATACGCAAAGAGGCGAAACAATGAAATCGGGCAATGCAGATTGCGTGTAGTCCAAGCACCATAACATAAAATGGTCGGAAGCCCAGGTTGTCCACATAGAACCCCATTAGAAAAAGTGCAGATTTAAAGAGGCCGTATTCATATCTAACAATAATAAAATCTTCAGCAATCCAAGTATGGAAATTTCAACAATATGGCAACCACTCATAAAACGCTCCAGTGTAAGTATTCTTAGTGCACAACTTCATGCTTGACTGCACCCAACTAATTCACGGCTGAATGCTCGGCTCTAGTATACCAAGCTGAGTAGTTTAAGGATTTAGATTAGTTCATACTTGATAATGGTCAGTGATACTTCTGACCGAAACGTTGTATTAGCAAAATAAATAAAGACAAGACCGAAGTTCTTTTAGTTTCAGACCAAACCAAACTTCGATATTTCAGATCGTTAAATCAGTCTCCGTTATCAAGTAGGTATCAAAACTACATATGCTAACATACAAGACTAATATATGAGCTGTAGATACTAAACTGTGATTATTTACCTGTAAGACTGTGCCACAATGTCTCCGGCATTAGTAGCAAAATAGTCTCATTCTTCTAATCAACTAGAACAACATTCTTATTAGTGTGCCTAACCGTTCCGGATATTGATGATAAGCAAAGTGCTTCGAACTTTACTGGCTGCTGCTCTAAATAATTCTCCTTTAAAAACCAAAGTTCTGATGTTTTTCAACCAGGAGATTTTGCGGCTTGCAGGTCCTCTTTTGCCCAAGACCTTTTCCTGTAGTACAAACTGAAGGAGACCATATCTTTTTGGTTACTCATTATGTGTCCCAGATATTCTAATTTTTGTTGTTTGATAATGTCCACTATTTCGTTCTCCTTTTGAAGCATTTCCAAAACGGTTTTGTTGGATACGTGGTTTACCCAGGAGATTCACAGAAGTCATCTGTATAGCCACATCTCAAAGGCTTCGAGTTTTTTTGTGGACGCTTCTGTCAATGTCCAGGGCTTGGCACCGTACAGGAGCACGGACCAGATAAAACACTTAAATAGTTTCAGTTTGGTCTGTAAATTAAGATCTCTACTATTGAACACATTTCCCATTCTAACGAAAGTGGCTCTTGTTTACTCTATGCGGCATTTTATTTCTACAGAGTGATATATAATAATAGCTCCCGTATATAGCGTTTGACGCCTTGGGAGTAGCAAGGTACAGCTTGCTATACTAGAGCCGTTCGGTATACAAGGAAGGTAATGTGGCTAGCACTACGCTTCAACCGCCTATTATTACCTCAGGATTGTGAATCCCAAGTACTCATTTAAGGCTGAGTTGACCTAGGTACCCAAACTATTTTTATTTTTAATAAAAATAGTCGGCTGATGAAATGCCGGGTGTGGGAATCGAACCCACACCTTGAGATTGGTAGACGAGAGCCTGTACCTCTACGCCACCGGGCACCTTCGTAGTACCCAAATATATGTAATTAGCTCTTTGGATTGGTTGATTATTGATTAGCAGTTAGCAGGGTTGTATGTTATGATTACTAATTACCATGAACTTGTTTTTTTTTTGGTATTAAGAGATAGTTCATACTCAGGGCTGGCGCTAACAACACGGTTCATTAGTTGTTGGAGATTTTCGAAGGAATCAGCGAACACAATTACAGAACAACTTTAACAACATTAATTTAAGAAAACTTCTTTAAATTTGCATTTTTATACACAACTTTAGACTCTATGAATCGAGTGTAAATTTGACATGATATATCAGTCTGGGTGTCTTCATTGAGTATACTCAGTATTACTACTGAATCATTGCCCACCACATTCAGAGATAAGTTATAAACCGTACCATATTAACAATTTTAAATCTGCCTAGGACTAGGCATATTTATTTATAAATATCAACTCTCATCTAGACGTATCTAGAGGTATTGAATATAATATACTGTCATAATTGATGAATTTATTTAGTTATTATTCAATCAAAAGAAAAATGATAAGATTACTCTTAATTGCGCGTGTTTTGCGTAATTTTCTTTGCATTTTTTGCAGTCATCTTCTTCGATACTTAATTCCCTTCCTCTACTTTTATGTAGATTTATTTGACATCGTAAACCCGTGAGACCCGAATGAAAAAAGACCTGCCGGGGAGACTTTTTCCAATGTGGTCGTTAGAGAATTATTAAAATCTTGACATTTTGTTTGCTTTTACACTGTTAACGTATGCGAAATTAAACTGCTATTACCTTAGTTACTACAACTATATTTATAAAAGCCTTTCAGTTGCTTTGATATTTTCTTTATGTAGTATATTTAATGAATATGGATGGTTTCCGGACCTAGCCACAAAAAATCAATTATCAGGATTTGATTGATTGCTGTTGCTTATTTGTTCGTCCTTTGTTTTTGTAAAATTGATGTAACCTTTTGTCCACAACAATTTTAATACTAAAAAAAGGATATGACTAATCAATAGAATCTGTGGGGTTTTGTCTGACCAATTATAAGAGAATTATGTTCATTCAATTAACCTAACAATCAAACAGAAAATTATGTTAAATAGAATTTAGCTGATTAATTTTACACTATGCAACTATTTCGTATTTCTGTTTTATATGAATCGCTTTTTTCATATTTCTTTATCAACTTGGTGTCAAAGAGTCTTTTTTGTTGTTCTACTCGTCGAGTTTACTGTAAGCAGAAAAGCAAGTCTTGCATTTTTAGTATATTTTTACTAACGAAAATCGGACGGTTTTTTAATGTATTATATAGAATCAGCATCTCCTCTTTAAAATTTGATGCAATAGGAGGGAAAACACGATTTGTAATAAATTAAAACAAAATTTTTTATCAGGTAAATAATTTCATATATCACATGTGATAAAATGCGATAAAAATGCAAAACTGTAAGGCCGTAAGAGTCATACATGCTTGGTCTTAGTATTGAGAGAAAGTCTTGTAGCTCTACAATGTATATGTACAATTTGTAGAACTAAGAGCAAAAAAGCGTGTTTTTGACATTAAGTGAATAAAAAACGACGACAGATTTGTCAGTCATTTTAACACATAAAAAATTGCACTTTTTATTATTTTTTGTCGACATATGCCATAATCTCAGTGGTTAGACAGATCTGCCTTGCTAAGAAAAAACCTTTGAATAAAATATTCTTTTTATTCAAAGGAAAAAACTAATTTTCCTACTAAATGAGAAACATATGCTTTAAATTGGGAATTATGATGAACTATAATTTCACCTCAGATGTAAATCTTACGGTTATGCTATATAAAAGTGCCCTATTTTATTGGTATTTTGAATCCTTCGTTTTCTTTGTCTTTTCTTGACATTACTATTTGTTTATGTTGTAAATTAGCAATACAGGATTCATATCATATGATCATATTTACAAATTTTATCATATCATATTTACACATTATAATAACAAACCCCTTAACTTTTTAAACCAAAATGATTTAGGGCAAAAAAGTGCACAACTAATTGAATAACAAAGTGATTAGATTTTCATGCGTTAAAACAAAATTACGTTTTTTTTTCAGGCTGGCTTTATTCACACTAAATCTGGAAAGTTCTACATAGAGCCAGCATACCATCCTGAAAAAAATATATCACCTGGCCACAAGCATCTCATTTTTAAGAGATCGGTGATAGTCAACAGCATAACCGGTATCAGCATGAAAAGAAAACGAAAAAAGAAAAAAAGACACCATCAGTCGAATTGTGGCACCAGAGAACCAAAACGATATACCGAGTACGTAAGTTTATTTAGAAAGCTTATAATATTGTGTATTAAAACATATACGAAAATCAATAAAAGTTGGCGTGCATTTCATCAAAATACCATATGATCGAAAAAAAAACGGCATCGGCGAGGGCTACGAAATGAAGATCGCTGTCATTTTACATGCAAAATTATATGGGGAATGTCATCGATGTTCATTTCCAAGCCAACTGGACACCGTTGTTTTTATCAACATATGTTAGCAACATTTTTGAGAAAGAATTTTATGAAAGTTGACTCTTTAATATATATTTTGCTATGTTCTGTAGAACAGCGCACGGGCTGTCGATATGTCTGGCTGCCGATAGACGTTGCGTTCACTACTGCGCATTGAAAGAAGATCCTTTCCGAAGAAGAGATATTTTTGTATTTAGTCCGTTAAATTTTTGCATTAGCCTTAGTGTTAGCCTTATATGAGCCAGACAGCCCACACGCTGTTTCAAAGAGCATAGTAAAAGATATATCAAAGAGCGAGCTTTCTTAAAATGCTTGTTTTCCCGACATTGCCAGCTCTCATACTAGTATCTGACAAACGGACTGTCACAATGTTACCACGGCTACTTTTTCTACTTTGATTTTGACATGCGTAAATTGAAATTTGTAATTTTGTCTTTTACTTCAATTTTAGGTACAAAGATGTTTGATATGAATATATCTTCAATGAAAGCCGCAAAACTTACGCAACAATATCAATTTTTACATCTAACGTACTTTGACGGCAATTGCGTAGACAATGATGCCGACAGTTTGGTAGTTTGTGTCATTTGTCATTGTATTGCAATGAAAATCGGAGTGTTAACTATAAAAATTGAAACGAATTTTATATTATAAATAGAATTTTACTTTCACCTAAGTGCACCCCAATTTTTATTACTTTCTCTTTAGGCTATTAATTCTAATATATAATAACAATGTAATAGGCTGGAGTGGCAAAAACAATTGGGAAAAATAAAGGTCCAAGAAAAGAAGCACAAACACCAAAAGAATCAAAACAAAGTGAAAATAAATAATATGCAACATTCACAAATAAAGAAACTGAAATACAAACACATCAAGACGATGAGAGGAAAAAGATCGGTCAGTCAACCCCAATTTGTCGAAACTCTTCTGGTAGCAGATGGAAGCATGGTGAATTTTCATCACGATGGAGATATAGAAACGTATATTTTGACTTTGATGAACATGGTAATATTAATATATTTATACGGCTTCCATATTATGATCAAGTACTCGTTAATTCTTATTATTTTGAGCTAAGTATACTTTTGAACGAATACTTCATAAATGTGAATGTTCAATGTAGAGTTCGTGAACTGTTAAATTGTATAATTTGTTGTACGATAAATTGGATCGTGTGAAAGCCGTTTTATATTTTTTGTTCTTTGATACAGTCCTTTATGATTTCTCGCTCATATGATGCCATTTCATTCCTGCAATTGAAAAAACTAATTATTCTAAAGCCAAACTCTAAAACACTGAAACACGGGGTGGTCCGAATTGTATTCGGGAAACTTCGGCAATATATTCTATCGATAAAATAGAAAAATAGTGTCGTTTGTGTAAATATATATCCTAAAATGCTTCATTTCGGAGACACAGAGTGTAGAAGTTTCATTTTTATTTCGATTTTTTCTTCGAAAATAGTTTCTGAACTAACGTCCATCTTTGGGTGAAATTTGATGGCTTGGTGTTTTTTGACATGATAAATTCGATTTCGATGTCAATATGACTCCTACTTCTAGGGGACGCCATTTACATGCTCTTTAACTGTTTTGAAGAATAATAACTTTTCGTCCGTATCTGTATTACACTAATGAGTGCATAAATATACATTCTTTCATTTTATACATCAAAAGGGGTTTTTAGCCTACTCCTACCACGCTGGCGAAGCGGGTTGGTAGGGGGGATAGAATGGGATAATTGTATAGGGAGTTTTGGTTTGGATAGGAGATTTGGAATGGGACAATGCTTTCTTCGTATGGTCTTAAGAGATAAGCCAAGGCTCAGATAAAGTCATCCCTGAAGTAGATCTGTCAATTTCGGGATCAAAATTGAGTATCTACCCGCTATCTACCTACTATCAAACTTGCGAGATTGGTAGAAGAATAGGCTTAACTTGGACTGCCTTTGGCAAATTAAGACATGTATTCCGGTCTGACGTACCAATCTGTGGTACTGACATGTGGTTCTGAAACTCTAGCCTTAACCATGTTAGGTCTATATCTTATAGATAAAGTGCTTAATACAACTATCCACAGGTTGTTAGATGCGATGGAAAGAATCACTCACTTGAAATGGAGTTGGGCCGGACACCTGGCAAGAAGATCGGTTAATCGGTGGACTAAGAGAATTACCGAATGGAGGCCCAGGCAAGACGCTTATTTTAGTAGAGGCCATTCGCCCACACGCGCTGATCCGTCGATATAAGAAGAATCGAGACAAATTGGATGAATGCTGCGAGAGATCGTGAAGAGTGGTAAAGATTAAGGGAGGCCTATGTCCAGCAGTGGACGCGAGTGGCTGTGTGATAATGATAATGATAATGATGATACATCAAAAAGCTCTTTTGGTAAAAGTCCCTACGAGCAATTGTTCTCAGATATTTGGAATTGAAATAGTCAATGCATTCCATAATAATTGACAAAAATTATACATGTTGACTGGATAGTTTTATCAGTCTGAAATATAAATAGAAAGAAACCTTTGAAATATTTTTGCGCTAAAGATTCAACAGAAACTGTTTTATCATAATTTTTTTCTGGAATAATACATGATTAACTAAAAAAAAATTAAAAGTTCCCAAATTTATCATTTCATTTCAGACCCAACTATCTATATGTGCATATATGTGTATCTATATGTATATGCAGGTACAGATAAAAAGTTATTACTCTTCAAAACAATTTCAAAATATGTCAGTGGCGCCCCCTACAAGTGGGAGTCATATAATGACTCTCAAAAAACATTCAGAAACCAATTTTCATTCAAATATCGATTTTAGTTCAGAAATTATTTAGAAAAAATATGAAACTTAGACTCTGTATCTCCGAAACTAAGCAATTAAGACTTAAATTTATACGAACATTTTACCTACTTAATTTTATCTGCAGAATATACTAACGAAGTTTCTTGAACACAATTCGGACCACCCTGTATAAGTTTTAACATTAGTAAACTTTTCAATGATATTTCACATTTCACATCGTACTAAAGTTTCTTTTTAAAGAAATATACTTCTGGCATTCGTTTTCATCAGTTGAAATTCATTTAGTAAAAACGTATCAAAGCAAAATACAGTTTGCTTTATACATTTTTATAAATATAGCGCCAAGTATTTAATAGACTTGAATTAACAGGGATACCTAGCTATAATATCACTATATTTTATTTATTTTGCTTATTTAGGTGTCTTCTTTTTACCAAGATCCCACCATTGGTAACTACATAAAAGTAGTTGTGGTAAAAATAATTCTTCTTGAAGAATCTACGGACGAGCCCGAATTTGAGGCATCAACTAATGCAGATAATACTTTGAAGAACTTTTGTAAATGGCAGAAGGATATCAATCCAGGGGATGATGGTCATCCTCATCATCATGATGTTGCCATACTGATAACACGGTAAGGAGAAATCCATACCAAAATTTAGAAAATGTCAGATCTAATCCAGTTAAAAATAAATTAAGTGTAAATAAAATTAAATCAACAAAAAATATACATATATACAGGGTGGCCCAGTAGTGCGAGGAAGTCCAATATCGTAGTAGTTGAATATGTGAAAAAAATATACAGATGTTTTATGGTTTATAAGGGGGCATATCCTAAAAATATTTTGTTGTATACCGGGTGTCCCAAAAAAATGGTATGATAATTTTTTTTAAATTGCATCCCCTTTTTTCTGCAGCGACTTGAACTCAGCATAAAATTTTGCATATAGTATGCTATTTTTATTTCCAGCACTATGCCGTGTGTTACCATTATATTTCATATTTACTGAAACATTGGTTCAAAATACTATAAAAATACACCGAAAAGTGGTTAAAAACTAGAGTGAATTCAATTTTGTTATTACTTAGCTATATTTTCCTAAACACCAAGGACAACAGAATAAACCCGCGCAGAACAATTTACATTACCTCATACAGGGTAATCTTTGTGGCGTTGCCAACATCGCAATATTTAAAATGCTATATCTCAATTTTTTTAAATGCAACACCCTCTACATTATTTTTCTATTAGATGCAGGATTATAAAATGACCATTTTTGAATTCAAAATGTTCCTAAATTTTTTAATGGCTTAGCAGTTATTTTTCAAATCTTCAACAACGACGATATTGGACTTCCTCACACTAATATGGGCCACCCTCTATACGAGTATCATGTATTTCAACAGTTTATTTTTTAATGCATTTTATAGATTTTCTCAAGATTTATCTAAATGTATAGCTAAATTTTACAGAAAAAATTATAGTATCTAAATTAGAACAATTAGGTTTCTTAAGAATCAAATGTAGAGTTAAACTTGAAATGATTTTATATTCTAGGAAAGATATTTGTGCTAGACAAGATAACCCTTGTGGTACTTTAGGAGTAGCTCATATAGGAGGAATGTGCAAAGCCTCAAAGAGTTGCAGTGTGAACGAAGATAATGGTATAACGTCAGCTCATACAATTGCTCATGAGATGGGTCACAAGTAAGTATTTTGTTGCTACTTTTTTTCCAAATTTGATAACTTTTAGTTCTATACTTTAGGTCTTTAACGGTAAATGAAGCTAAAGAAGCCCAATTTCATTAAAATTGGTATTGCATGTCTTAAATAAGTGCAAATATTTTTAAGGGCAGTATATTTCGACCCCCGAAACACGATTATAAAATTTGCAATTTTTTGAAAAAAAATTTGGAAATTGTTTTAGTTTTTAGGTAAAAAACATAAATTCTTAATAATATAACCAAACACAAGTAGTAGACGAAATTTACAAGAAATAAAACCCAGAAAAAATCTCGTGGTTCTCAAAGTTTAAGTTAAAGATAATATTTTTGAAAGTAATATAACTCGGTTATTTTGGACTTATTTGGAAAATGGTAAAAAAAAATTATGTTTCTTTTATCGAGATCTATCAGCCCTGAAAATATTTGCACTTATTTAAGACTCGCCCTGTATTATTAGATAACCTTATTTTCAAGTTCGAAAAATGTCCTCTAGGAGACTAGGAAGAATTTGTTATGGCGAATGAGAAAACTTAATTTTTATCAACAAAAAAATTCATACCTTCAAAAATATTCTTTTCGTAGAATAATAGACTACGCCACTGTACTCTACGTAAAAAGTTCTACAATCAATAATGTCTTCGCCTTCTCGACACCTTTCACAATAAGAGAGATACGGGGGGTGTCCCATATTGCAAACTTTTCAAAAAGACCCTATAGCTCAGAAACTAAGAGGCTATAGAAATTTTGTTTATAGCATCTCCGTTTGACAAAAAAGTGAGACAGGTTTGTGCAAATTGCATCCTTCTATCTTCACTAATAACGGAGATATACCTATGATTTCAACTAAAATGGGACACCCTATGCTGCACTTAAAAATTAATTTGTGAATTTAATATCAATATTGAAAGTCGTTTCTTCTTTTGATTATTGTAGTAAATTTACTATCCGTTATTTAGTTTTACAACTCGTTTAATCGCTGTATGGATAATTAATATTATAATAAAATATGTTATAATATATTATCTTTATATTCACCAATATTTCTTGTGAATTTATTTAAAAACGTGTATCTCATAGTAAATTTACTTATTCATTGTAAATGTATTTTTTAAAATCGCCAACTTCTTGTAATATTACTATAGAGTAACAACAAATTAAAACATTTTATTATACTGAATTTACAATTACTTTGTGAAGTCACTAAGCGTTAGTAAATATTAATAAATTTAATAAAACATGTGTTTATAATTATAATATTTATTATAAAGATTAATAAAAAGTCACAAAACACATCTTATGTATGTAAGATACTCTCATTGCATTTCTTCTTGTTTAGAAGAACCTTACTGGAATTCTGCGCCTAACCAAAACAGGAACAAAATTACCATTAGATACAAAATAAAAAAACATGCAAGAAAAAGGTATCTAACCAAAACAGTCAACTTACCAACTTAGAGACTATGGATGGATAGAGTCCTCTATTCTGGTTCTCTATTAAATTTGTTCTCCGAAACACAGTCTGAAAAAATAAATAATACATAGAGATGTGTTGGATATAGATCAATGGAACAATTTTGTTTACATAAAAAAATCGCTAAGAGATTGTGTTTTAAACATAATTGATATAAAATACTTACCCTTAAATTATAAAAACACTAATCTCGGTGCTTGGGTGATTAGTGTCAATCACCCAAGCACCGAGAGTCGCAGCTGTTCAAAAAACTGCTTAAATTAATTTTTTTTTTCGTCTTTCCTCTAATTACGTCTTCAATCGATTACTTAATTCGCATCGCCTTGACAAGGAGTCATGTGACGTGACATAATTTTTTACAAAATATATTATGGTAAATTTACACATGGGTTTTGTGAATATGTCTGTCATGACATGCAATTTTACTACGAGATTGTATTTCTGATTTAAATTTCATTTTTAAACTCACAAGACTCATTGTGAAAATAATATAGTTTAATAATTATCATTTAATATTAATAAACTGGCTTTGCAAAATGGCATTTTTTGCGAAACTATGAAAAAATATCTTATTTTTACAAGTTTATTATTAAAGGTTGATTCTCACTATACCTTCCATATCAGCTCCCCCTCCCTCCGTTTTCCTTCCGTTTACATAAAATATTGTAGCATGTAAATGAATAGGATAATGCACACTATCCGTTCCGTTTCTCTTCCGTTCCATATCCTTTCCTCCCATCCATTTTTTTGGCGAGCGGACTGAAACGTGTTGGAAACAGCGTTGTCAAGTTCTTATATTTGTAGTAGCTCTGTTAACATTTTACTGATATTTATCTATTTTTTCACCTCTTAATTAAATCTATTACCTTTTTCAAAAAACATAAATTTTTAAAATAAAACTTTTGTAATGATATAAATTGTACAATAGAAAGTATGGAACTGATACGGAACGGAAGCTTACGTACAGCGTCAGTACAATAAAAAAATACGGGACGGATATGGAATGGAAACGGAAGGTATAGTGGGAATCAACATTTAAAATACCCTAATGTATCAATATTTTGTTTTGTAAAATTACTTATATTTTTTTCAGTGTGAAAATGATTTTTTAAAGGTGTTTGAATTGAAAAATCGGTGTTGCTTGTATGGCAGCTCATTTCAAGCTTCCCTGTTTATTGACTTTTCTCTCTTTTTCATTGTCCATTTGTTGTGTATAAGGAGAAAGAATGGAGAATGCGCGCACACATACACATACGCATGTTCTTATTCGTTAGGCCGTAAAATAAGGCGATGGCGAGCGGCCGTACCTCGAGAGCACTTCGTTAAAGTGATTTTATGGCGTGAAAAACGGAATTTATACGTATTAAAATAAAAACGTCATAAGTGGCGGCTGCGGCGGCGGCGTCTGCGAAACGTAATCGAGGCCATTTGTAGAGGGCGCTATCCGCGGGAATGGAAGAAAAACTGGACGCGGCGGCTCTCGGAGATGAATGGAATGAAGAAATACCGTCTCGTATATGTACACTGAAAAAAATATAAGTAATTTTACAAAAAATATTGATACATTATGGTAGTTTTAGTCCTCAACTAGCGTGGTGGAGTCTAGCGGACCCCATGCACTATTTAAACTGACGTAAAATGTTTACGTTTAGCATTTAGGCCTCATCGTTTACCTTTAAGTTAGGGTACCCATATGCAACTGTTAAACGCGCACTTGCTTTTTATCAAGTATTGTTCCTACAAGCGGGGGGTAAAGTTGAATTGGGGTCTGTGTGGCACCACCACGCCAAGAATGTTTTATTATTAGCATGGTGGGTAGTTCAAAAAGTGTGCATTCCGGTGACGCTTAAGCTACGCGCACACTGGTGCGATCACGGCCGCGATCACGATTACGATCAGGGCAGCGACAACATGAGCGATCATTCTAGCACACACCAACGCGTTCACGTTTACCGCCGCCGCGTCGCATATACGGGTATTTTGATTATTTAGGCGGCCAAAAGCCGTCTTTTGTAGTACACTATAGCAAGGATACAATTTTTTATTTGTGTTTCTAATAATGTCGTTATTGCCGCCTAGTCAGATCAGCCTCAACAAACATTGAAAGTGCGCAAATAGGTGCTAGTTTATTGTCTTTTTCATCCTGTAGAGTTTTAGTGTATGCAATTTTATATTTTTTTGCACAATTGGGTGAAATGACCATCTCTTTAAGCATCTACGAGGCACTTCTTTTTCCCGAAGTTTGAAGTGATATTTGTGCTGCCTGAAGCAATATTTCCTTACTTGTTGTACTTTGTAGTTCTTCAGTGCGTCTTCGTTGACTTCTTTCGCTTAGTTCAGCAAATTCCTTTGGTGGACGCCCTAAACGGTGTGCTATCAAAGGTTGTTCAAACGTTCCTTCTAACCAGGCATAGTTTTTTAAGGAAGTTGTCAAGATTTCGTTGGACATTAGACCATCTTTGCTTAAATTGTGACTTGATGTACGAGAATCTGTGCTTTAAATCTTTTATTTGGTCTTCGGAATAATTTTGGTATGCCAAAATATTATTTTCAATATACTCTAATTTATCGTCAAAAGTAGGCAAATCTTGCTCTTGCATTTTATCAAACAAGTACCTCTCCCTTACTACTCGAGCATTTGACGACCCTGAAACAAAGTTAGACGCTCTTCGAATCGAAATTGTTCTAGAATTACTAATGTTGCATTTTACACAAAGAAATTTAAAACCTGCATAACACAATATTGCGCAGCTATTAGCAGCTAAACTAGTGATAATCATTTTCTATATACTCTCAAGTTGACACTGAACTTTATTAAATATGTGGGACGAACACTGAAGTATAACAAAAACCTTTAGCTATGTGAAAGAATTATTTAAAATGAAAGCAAAACTAATGCAATGATTTTGCACACTGCTAAAGGTGTTTAAGAATACTTAAAATCTTTTAAATATTAAATATGTAACCACTTACCAGCAATATCAGGAACCATGATTTAGTTTTTCATATATATCTTGGATAATTAATGTACACACTATTCAAACTAAACGTTGACATGTAAAAGAGGATAAAAGGTGACTTGATATTACTGATCCATTATCATGTTGGCCGTTGAATACAGGGTTGCCTATTATTCTGCCGCTATTCAACTTCCGCCAGGTCTACTCTATTTCCATCTGCAATGAGTTCTACGAAATTGACTTTTGGCCGCTTAAATAATCAAAATACCCGTATGTGCGCCGTACCTATATTAGGTAGTGCGCTATCCTGTAGGTATACATAGGTACACATTAAAATGTGTGAATTATGTATACCGTAAAAACATTCTTAAATACTTACCTACAATATTTAAACTTAAACAATAAAAATTCATGTATGTACTATCCAACCCAATTGCAACTCCAATTTTGTTTCAAACTTTTTATTTTTAATTCTATTATTTTTGGAACTTGGATCGAATAAATCATATAGAATTTTGTGTATTTTTACAGCCTTAATTAGCTGCTCTGTTAACTCCATTTCTAAATTGCAACACACAAAATAACGGAAAATTCCCATCAGTTGGGCCGCGATCACGCGATCAAACTCGACAAGTTGAATCTGATCGCCACCGCAGAATAGAACGCCGCCAGGCCGTTCGTTTCCAAAACTCGATCGCGCCAGTGTGAAACGGCTCATATTATGTATTCTTCAGCAACTTTTGGCCGCGGCTGCGTGGAGATCGTGATCGCGGCCGTGATCGCACCAGTGTGCGTACAGCTTTATTTTGAAGAAACATTAACCGACTGCTACAATGAACTTAAAGAGACTTATGTGATATGAAAACCATCGAGACAATGATTTTTCTCCGAAGAGTAACTATAACTCCGATTCTGAATCTGTTACCTGTAGAAGAGAGAGAATTCAATAATCAATACCAGAAATGAAAGAGATGTATTATATGTCAACGAACGATAAAAAAACAAAATCTCAAAAACAAATGTGCACCATCCATGTACGGTGCCGGCAGATCGTATGTTAGCAAGAACTGTATTTGAAAAAGTTATATACATTCAGGGTTTGCAGTTTTGTTGAAAATAATGTATGTTTATTACTTTAGCTTCACAGTTCAGTTGTTTGTACTTTCAATAATACGAGGAAATCAAGAAATATATATGTTTTCAATTTCTATGGATTTTTTAGCCGACTTATATTTCTGTTGTCAAAAATTAATAAAAAATAGGTTTATCTTTATTTTTGTGTCCGTTCTTATTAATTTATTGAAAATGAGTGAGAGACATTATTAATTCACAAGTTTGAATATATTGTAAACCGTGTTAAAATAACAAACTTTTTATAAAATCTCTTTGCCATTTATTTTTAACTGAAAAAAACAAACAATTAGGGTCTATCGGACCCCAGAACGCCATAAGCGGTACAACATTTCACCACGCCCGCGCCAGTTGCGGGTTAATAAGAAACTTGTAAAAATAAGATATTTTTTATATTTTCACAAAAAATGTTATTTTGCAAAACCAGTTTATTAATATCAAATAATTATTACTAAACGATATTATTTTCACAATAAGTTTTGTGAGGTTAAAAATTAAATTTAAAGCAAAATTAGAATATTTTAGTAAAATTCCATGTTTCTAGACATATTCGCAAAACTTTTGTGAATTTTAAACAGAATGAAACCAAGGAAACATTATATCGGTGTATATTTTTTATTAATTAATTTATTTTATACAAAATCAATTATAATAGAAAAAATAGGCATTTTATCCAGTCTTATGAGTCGTTTAAAAGGATATTTTATCTACTAGTGGGTTAAAATCTCTTTATTTCTTATTGATTTATTATCTATTATTAAGCTTATATCGTTTTGGTTTCGCTAACCATAAATAGAGTCATATCTCCTTTTTTCTTATAGTAGCATCTTTTAATGAAGGTTGGCAACAATCGCGGCGAAACACTGTCTGTCCTGTTTAGCTCGAAACAGTTCGTGGGAATTCAGTCAAGTCTCGTCTCGTAAGATTCTCAATCAAGAGTGCCTGCGTCTCCCAAGTCCTCTTATGCCTTCTATAATAACTTCAGAAGCTTTGCTCTACTATTGCGCATGACATGGCCCAGGTATGCTGTCTTTCGTTCTTTTTATATTCGTCAGCAATTCCCTTTCCCTGTTAAGCCTCTCATGAACCTCTTCATTACGTACATGATCTGTCCAGGGTATTTTCAAGAGTGTGTGTTCACTTTAAGCGTCCATGTCTCACAGCCGTATAAGAGGATTGGGTATATATAACAATGAATAAAACGCAGACGTAAGTTGATGTTGAGTGATCGGTTACATAATAGGTTTCTCATTTTGTTTAACATTGATCTAGCCTGTTATATACGCGATGTAACTTCTAAGTCGGAGTCAATGTCCGATGTTAGCCAGTATCCCAGGATGTATTTGAACTTATTTACCATGTCCACGCATTGTCCGTATACTCGTATGTTGGGTGGTGGAATATTTATCCTACTAATGACCATTAACTTGGTTTTTGCCGTGTTTATTTTAAGGCCCAATGGATCTCCTACCCGAATTATGTCGTCTAGAAGTTCTTGAAGAGCTGCATACCTAAGGTTATTAATTGGAACGCCATTTATTTGTATACCAATGCCTTTATCTTGTAGGGCCTTATCGAATATATACCCCCAGTATATATTAAACAATCAGGGAGACAGCACACATCCCTGACGAACCCCACGTTGTACTGGTATTTCGTCTGTTTCTTCTTGCCCTAACCTTATGTATGCTGTCTGATTCCAATATAGCTTTTTAAGAATTGGATATCATTCTTGTCTAGACCTTTTTCTTGTACTTTATCAAAGGCCTTTTCATAGTCGATGAAACAAATGTATACGTCTTTTTTTGGTGTCTACATTTCTGTAAGAGAACAGACAGGCCAAACATTGCTTCCCTGGTCTCCATTCCTTTTCGAAAGCCAAATTGGCCATGATCTCAATCAATTTCACATTTTTTGAATATTCTGTGTTGAATTATTTTAAGAAGTATTTTTAAAACATGGCTCATTAGGCTTATTAACCTGAAGTGTTCACATTTTTTGCGGTGTTATTTTTTGGAATAGGGACAAAAATTGACTTTAGCCATTCTTGTGGGATCTCACTGCTTTTGTAGATTTACTTTAACAGTCTAGTTAGCTAACCCTTAGTAAATAACTCCTTTAGGACATTATTATTAATAAATAGAGATTTCGATTTTGATGTGAGACTAACGAAATCTGGTCCTTCAAAATTAATCACTTGAGGTGTCAAAATCCATGAAGATAACTTAACCAATTGCATTGCATAATACTGAAACAATAAAGGCTAAAACAATGGAGCATAAAGATTTATTTGATGATGATAACACGATTACTATATATCATACTTTGAGTAACACCTATAACATAAGTTGCGCACATAAAATTCTCTTCGTATAGATTATACGTGTACTAAAAGATCGTATCTGAAGTTAAACACATCTTAAATCTTTGTATATTGATCTCCAACTGAGTATATAACATAAAGCTTCATAAAATATCAATAACAACCATAAATAGAAGTACGTTAAAACAGTGCTTTCGATTAACAGTTTTCGTTTTAGAATTTATAGATTCTTACTACAACACACATAACTTATGATATTTTTAACATGTGTTTAAGTTACTCTATATTTTCTATACTTTATTTCCAACAAGGTCATCACACAGTCATGAAGGGAAGAAATAATTATTGACTGTCAGCTATCGTGATACGTTTTATATACATCACTTCTGTTTACAGCACTACTGTTTTCTAATTTTTAATTTTCAAAAGGTGACAGTTTTCTAAAAATGAGATATATTCAGTGTTAATATTTTAATTATGTTAAAGATGCTAATATAGACCAAGCAGCATTCTTAGACACCTTTCTGGTAATGTTTCTAATTATCGTGTCTGTTTCTTGATACAAAATGGAAACGGTATGCCACAAATAGGAAACATTTTCGAAACCTATATATTTTATATGTGTTTCCACGTTTTGTATATGGTGGCACTAGCCGTTTCCTGAAATGGTTCGATACTGTATCAAAAGTTTTAGAGGAAATGTTTCGAAATATTGTTTGCAATTTGTGTCCAAGATGTTCCCGTTTTCAGCCGGTTTTCCACACACAGTCTATTTGTCTGTATGTGGATTTCAAAATGAAAACAACCATCAACGATACCGACCTCCGCTATATTTTTTGTGTCTTACAGTCTTTGTTTTTAGGTTTTCTAGCACAAAAAATGTCTGGCAAAAGCAAATTCATCGTTTAATTTAATATTGTGCTTTCATATTTTTAATGCGCCTTCTATGTATCAATATTTGGTGCTACAAATTATATTTGTTTGAAATATAGATTTTTATTTTTATTTCTATATCATGGTTCTGAAAATAAACATATATAAACAAATGTAAGTAGAACGCGTTCTTATGAGTTTAAAAGCTCAACAACCGATAAAAACATATATTTTTAGTTAAAAAAGCGCTGTCATTAGCTAACATGGCGGAATTTTAATTCATTATTTTATAAAATTGACATGGAGTTCGACAAAAACCGTTTATTAGATTATATCATATTTGTGTCTAAAAAGAGAAAAACTCGTGTTTCGAAAATGAATTGACAATAAATGGAAACCGTAAATATGTTTCCAAAATGTTTCGATTTTGTTTCCGAACTTTGCTGAACAAACGCAGCGAAAGCAAAGAGTGCTATATAAGTAGAAATTTCGAACTAGTCAACTGTCATCCCACGCCAACCAAAACTTCTAGTCTAAATAATTAAAACTTTTTTATTTACTTATTATAACGCAACTAAAACGTAAAAACATGTATTCCATTGTGGAAAAAAGAAAAAAAAAACGTTTGCTGCTAATTTTTCTTCGGTCTCCTGTTGGGTACAGGCAGTGGCTGTTATTGTATTTATTCCTAAAACAAATCATCTCTGTAATGCGTATAATAAATAATTATAAAATCGTATAAGAAAAATATCTGTATTACGGGTACGAACGGTACGAAACCTTTGTAAATGTGAGCCATCTGTTTCTTAAAAGTTTCGAAAAATTTGTTACATTAAGATTTTTTTATAGCTTATGTAGCAAAGCCATATTTTGTTAAAATGTTTCGAAAAAATATGATTTATGTTACGAAGCAATGTATCCAAAATTGTCGAATTAATTCCAAAACTTTTGTGTCTTGACACAAACACCATCATTGTTTCGAAATTATTACGCAATGTTTCTCGGCAAATATTTTGTTTCGATTTTATCTCTAAAAATACTACTTGGGAGTGAAAAATTCTAATTTCAAACTCAATTTTGTTACAGTTTTGGTATGCTACACGACACAGAGAAGATAGGATGCAAAAGAAAAGCGGGCAACAGGCTTCACATAATGACACCTTCCTTCGAAGCAGACGCTGTTAGTGTGAGTTGGTCAAATTGTAGTAGAAGAGAAGTCACGAATTTCTTAGAGTAAGTAAAGTACATTTTCAACAGTTTAAATTCATAAAAAAATCATAAAGAAGACAAGAAAAATATAATTTTAAAATTATTCATGCTCATTTATAGAGAGGTTTGGTACCAACGAGTCTCCCAAAAACATACAATCTACATTTGCAGCGGGTTTATTTCTTGAACAAAAAGCCTTGGTATTTCGCAAATAAGATTTCAGGTTTCCTAATTTAAAAGTATGAAAATTAATATACACAGCTATTTAATTAACTTTCAACAGTTACACTAACTTAATATCTCTAACATTAATAATATGAGCCGTGCCGCATATAGGACGCTAGTCTTGCTTATTTAGTTGCGGATATACCTAATATTTTACCATTACTGCATCCCAGAGTGCAGATTCGGTTATATTAACCCCAACTTTGCTCGCTATATATTTGGGATATCAAGTAGATCTTGTAGGTATTACTACATTTATTACAATGTTATGTACACACATGTACATATCATATTATGAGGATTTAGTATTGCAATTGATTTCTGAAATTAAAAGATTAATCTATATACCGGGTGTCTTTCTCAAATGGCTTACCCTTATAAAGTTTTTATTCTTTCAGATAAAAAACGAAATTTCTTTTTAATTGAAAATGTAAAAAGTTGATATATTACGTCAACATGACATGTTATGATGATTTTAGCTTACTTCGGGTTTCTGTTATTACCGATTCTGAACCGTCCTAGAACTGTGATGCGTATGCGCAGAAGGAAATATGAAAACATTATTTCATTTGCGCATGCGCTGCAGAGTTCTAGGACGGTTCAAAATCGGTAATAAACAAGAACCCGAACAAAGCTTTTATTCTATTCAGAATGTCATTTTCTGACAACTAAATTAAAAAATACTGAATACCGAAGGGATCGAAGTGTTGTGCGGCATGCAGTTTCCCTATGATGTGCTTTTTAAATGTCTAGGTTTTGTATGCATAGGTCATAACTGGTAGTACACATTGGTCGAATGTTTTCTTCTACTATTTCCAGTGTTGTATCATTTATTAGAATGTCTTTTATCTATCATATTTAGCTATAAAAGATATTAATTTTATAATCACATCACATAAGAGAATATATACCTACAGAAATTAAATCTGCTCATCTCTATTCCCTAACTCTATACTACTAAAATAAAAGTTTTCTGCTCATTTTTATCCTGAATGTCATCTCAGATCATAAACTTTTTACTTTATCTTTTTCCGTCCTCTGTAATTTTATGCGCATCTTTATCGCCGACTTTTTATCAAATAAAAGAGAATCATCCTCTCGTCGAATTGTGTAAGTTGAATTTGTCGTTTTGATACAATGTTGCCCGATTCGTTACAGGTTATGCGATCTTTTATTGCCCTCTTTATGGCTTCATCTCGAATCTGGATCGAAAATTAACAGATTGCAGGTAAATTCGATTTCATTTTGCAGGTAACGTTTCTGTATGTTTAATAGGATAGAGGCAAATAGAGCAAAACAGTTTAATATATCTATATTTTAAATACTAGCCAATCCGGCTAGTTTATTCCAGACTTCACTTTGCTATTTTTTTCAAAGCCACCTAATGATATTTTGCCTTTTATTTTACTAACCTTATCAAATATAATTCTGTGAATAATAGAATAGTTATTATTAGAGTGAAATCATAAATTTGAAATGTTTTTGTGCCAAAAATTCAACAGAAACTCTTTTATCATTATTTTATCGAAGAAAAATTTATGATTAATTTAAAAAAATAAAAAGTTCCCATATTTATCATTTTAGTCAAATAAATATCTACTCAACATGTTTATTTTTTGTCAGTAATGGTATGTATTGACTATTTCCATTCTAAATATCTTGAGAACGGTTTGGAGAACGGTTGTTGCTCGTAGCGATTTTTACCAAGAGACATTTTTTACGTAAAAATATCACGAAAATGCATATTTTTTCACACAGTAGTTTTATACGGGTACGGACGAAAAGTTATTACTCTTCAAAACAGTTTAAACACATGTAGGTGACGCCCCCTACCAATAGAAGTCATATTGACATCAAAATCAAATTTCTCCTATCAGAAAACTCCCAGACACCATTTTTCATCCAAATATTGACATTACTTCAGAAATTAGTGGGAAAAATAGAAATAAAAATGAAACTACACCCTGTATCTCCGAAACTAAGCATTTTAGAACATATATTTATACGATCTATTTGACTTATTTTTATTAGCAGAATTTCTGGAATACAGTTCAGACCACCCTGTATAGTATGTCTTTAGAGTCGGAAGATTTGAACAGACGACATCCAAAAAATAACAGAATGTACCACGTACCAGTATATTAAAATGACAGACACAACTGTCACTATTGTAGATTTCCTCGTTGGGCAGATTATACTAAAGCACAGTTCTTTGTATTAGAGAGTGACAAAGAGCAAGACTTGAAGATGCACCAGAGGTCTGTCGAGTGTGTTGGTGTTGATCTTCTTGAGAAAATCTATTAAAAATATCTGTCAAGTGATCAATAGACCTTATGGAAGAATGGCATGCCACAAAAGTGGCTAAAATTAATTCCTTCTTCTTCATACAATTATCAGAAACTGTAACACCTACAAAGACAAGAAATGCAGGTTCAATATCATAATAACGGATCCAACTTACCAAAATTTCTCAAAGTAGACTGCTTACTAAGTTTTTTAACTTCTAGCTTATGCTTCATAGTTTTTGCATGTCGTAGAAGGTCAGCTCGATGAGATCTTAACCCTGTATCACATAATTTACAGTAACTGCTTATTGTAATACCACTTTGGGGGTTGATAGTCAACTACATGCATAAACAGATATTCTTATCCCTTTACCAACTAATATTAATCTTAAAACCACCAATCTTATCATTGTTAAGGAAGACAACACCCATACACCCGACACTCCGATACAACATCAAAGCAACAAGTAATAATAATTATTAATTAAAAATGTTAACAATATCATCGCCGTCCCCATACTCAACCATACTCAACAAAATAAAAAGTTGGTCCATAATACATACCTTTAAAATCTGGCTCATTTTCCCACTTCTTTTTATGGACTTTATTATACTTAGCCCATTTGCCTATTATTCATGCAGATATTAAGTTGAATATGGAGGAAGCTGAAGAAGGAAACTGTAACCGTGGAAAGTCCAGAAAAAGAAAGTAAAACGACAATACCACACCACGATAACAATAATTATTATTAACTGAAAACTTGAAAAGTTAGGTTAGGCTCACTAAATCAGTAGTGGTGGTTGGTGGCTACAGCTACAGCTACTGCAAACCAGCTGCAAACATGACGACCGCCACTCGTTAAATGTTTCTTAATTTCTTATGATTTTGATTCGATAATGGCCCCTAAAAGCGCTAAAAGTTTCCGATGTTGTAATTAAATTTATCGCCCAAATTGCGGTTTGCGATTTTCTGAAAATTTGTGACGTCATTTTTTTCGAAATATCGCCCAATTGGCGCGAAATCGCCCAATCTGACAACACTGACAAGAATCCGAGCAAAGCTTTTATTCTATTCAGAATGTCATTTTCTGACAACTAAATTAAAAAATACCGAATATCGAAGGGATCGAAGTGTTGTGCGGCATGCAGTTTCCCTATGATGTACTTTTTAAATGTCTAGGTTTTGTATGCATAGGTCATAACTGGTAGTACACATTGGTCGAATGTTTTCTTCTACTATTTCCAGTGTTGTATCATTTATTAGAATGTCTTTTAGCAATCATATTTAGCTATAAAACATATTAATTTTATAATCACATCACATAAGAGAATATATACCTACAGAAATTAAATCTGCTCATCTCTATTCCCTAACTCTATACTACTAAAATAAAAGTTTTCTGTTCATTTTTAGCCTGAATGTCAACTCAGATCATAAACTTTTTACTTTATCTTTTTCCGTGCTCTGTAATTTTATGCGCAACTTTATCGCCGACTTTTTATCAAATAAAAGAGAATCATCCTCTCGTCGAATTGTGTAAGTTGAATTTGTCGTTTTGATACAATGTTGCCCGATTCGTTACAGGTTATGCGATCTTTTATTGCCCTCTTTATGGCTTCATCTCGAATCTGGATCGAAAATTAACAGATTGCAGGTAAATTCGATTTCATTTTGCAGGTAACGTTTCTGTATGTTTAATAGGATAGAGGCAAATAGAGCAAAACAGTTTAATATATTTATATTTTATATACTAGCCAATCCGGCTAGTTTATTCCAGACTTCACTTTGCTATTTTTTTTTTCAAAGCCACCTAATGATATTTTGCCTTTTATTTTACTAACCTTATCAAATATAATTCTGTGAATAATAGAATAGTTATTATTAGAGTGAAATCATAAATTTGAAATGTTTTTGTGCCAAAACTTCAACAGAAACTCTTTTATCATCATTTTATCGAAGAAAAATTTATGATTAATTTAAAAAAATAAAAAGTTCCCGTATTTATCATTTTAGTCAAATAAATATCTACTCAACATGTTTATTTTTTGTCAGTAATGGTATGTATTGACTATTTCCATTCTAAATATCTTGAGAACGGTTGTTGCTCGTAGCGATTTTTACCAAGAGACATTTTTTACGTAAAAAATCACGAAAATGTATATTTTTTCACACAGTAGTTTTATACGGGTACGGACGAAAAGTTATTACTCTTCAAAACAGTTTAAACACATGTAGGTGACGCCCCCTACCAATAGAAGTCAAAATCAGAAAACTCCCAGACACCATTTTTCATCCAAATATTGACATTACTTCAGAAATTAATGGGAAAAATAGAAATAAAAATGAAACTACACCCTGTATCTCCGAAACTAAGCATTTTAGAACATATATTTATACGATCTATTTGACTTATTTTTATCAGCAGAATTTCTGGAATACAGTTTAGACCACACTGTATAGTATGTCTTTAGAGTCGGAAGATTTGAACAGACGACATCCAAAAAATAACAGAA